CCCCCCCCAAATCCCACCAGCACCCCCTATCTTATAAAAAATGAACGGTCCCTAAATATCTCTTATTTTTGTCGTAAAAATACACTGATTTTGGATCACTTACGCCAAAATTTTCAAAAATGTTCTTGCAGTAGTACGAGTTGAGGGAGAAAATTCAGGCCCTTCGACGTTCCCAGCATCTGCTATTTTGAAAAATTGCTGCTTCAGCGCTTTTAGTGATGTGCAATACATTTTTTCGAGTGAGTAATCGCTGAACGGGATTGTTTCTGGCATAGAATCGAACTGAGCAATGTTTCATGAAATAGCGAGGAAAAGCCAAAACAAGCTATGAATATTTCTAAATATCCTTAAATTTTCTAAATATCTTAATATCTTCTGAATATCTCGGAAGCTTCTAAATATCTCAAAACATTTCCGGATATTTGTGGAAAGGCCTATAACAAAGGCATCAGTGACGTCACCTATTGTCATTAATATGCCAACAAGAAAACTATTGGCTGGTGAAACAAAGAGTTCTTTTGCTTAACATGTTGCACATTCAAATAACAAAAACAATGTTTGTAAACAAATATCTTCGCTATGGGTGAGTAAGCGAGTCAGCTGATTGATTGATTGATTGATTGACTGATTGATTGATTGATTGATTGATTGATTGATTGATTGATTGCCTGGCTGACTGAAGAACTGACTGGCTGATTGATATTACAGGTTTTAGCACTTTCAGTAGCATTCAAAGGATGGCTCATAATTTGGAGATAAATAAACGACGCATTTGGGAGATGAGTCGAGGTACTCCATTTCCATCAGAGATGGAAATCAACTATAATCAAGGAAGTGGTCATGCGTCCATTAAGCCAGCAATTGGTGTTACCGTTTCCCCGGAGAGATTTGTTAAGGTAATGTCTGTTGCACAATGTTTAAGTTTTACCCAATTTCAGGCCTGAACCAGTTTGGGGTAGTGAATAGTGACAGGCCTAAGTAGGTCTAAGCAACTTATGACAAGGGAAACATTTAAACAATGAAGGTTCTTTAATCTATATTTTTGCTCTGACAAGCATACCATTGAGGCATTTTTCTTTTCTCATGGTTGGGTACTGATGGTTGATATTGTGTTACAAAAGGCGACGGATTTTTTCGAAGCTCCATCTTTCTTTCGCAGGGCTGATTTCCCTTCGGTAAATTTAATATCCAATAGAAGGATTTTAATCATATTATTTAGACTTGGAGTTTATCCTGTGCAGCACGTCATAATTTAAATTTTCTAATGCTTTGGCCCTGGGGACGTTCACGAATTCTTTTTTAACGATAGCAAGTTACAAGTTGTAGTGGATGAATAGATTTTGCAAATGATATGCCAATAAGCGGTCGGTTACTTGTCTCTAAAGTTTCAGATGTGACCAGTGAGAAAAAAAAAAGCCTGTGAAATCCCTGCATTAGTCACTATTGCAGACGCTAAATTGTTGTACATACTTCAGCTACGTAACTGCCAGTGTTGCGCTATAAATGGAAACGTTTCTTGCTTGCTTTCTAGCTAGAGTTCATTTGACGTTTCGATGACAACTGTGGTCTTAAGCCCTGGCCAAACGGACTCGCAAGTAATCGCAAGCAGCTGCGAGTTGAACTTGCGTAGAGAGTTGCGTTGGGTGGCTAAACGGACTCGCAAGTTTCCTCGCAAGTACCCGCAAATCGCAATAAAACCCATTTCAAGGCAGACATATCCTGTATTTCATTGGCTAATAATAGGTTAATGGACGCCTCTCAACTTGAGTTGACTTGGGTTGAGTGGCCAAACGGTGAAAAACTTGCGTCGACTCGCGTGCAAATTTGATCTCGACCAAAGTGAGCGCAAGTCATCGCANGTAGACGCAAGTTGAGAACTTGCGTCTACTTGCGACTCCGTTTGGCCAGGGCCTTAAGGACGTTGGCGCCCGTTGTTTCTCCGCATCAAACTTCAGGCCACATCATACATCGAGCGCGCGCGCAAAGGAAGAAATATAAATAAGTAGCCGGGTGCGCTAACTTCGCCTGCAATTTACTCTCTTAAATGACTTATTTACACCACGCAAATACAAAATCAACCTTATCCGCACGCTAACCTATCGATGCTTCCGTGTTTGCTCCACCGCTTCATTGTTGCAATCCGCTGTCAAGGATCTCAGAAGGCTTCTGCTTCAAAATGGTCACCCTCAGGGCATCATCACTTTTGATATCAATGATTTCCTGAACAAGAACAAGAACAAGCCAAATGAACCCATAGCAACAGTCCCTCAAAAATATATTAATATTATTTCATTACCTTAAATAGCTCTCCATAACAATTATATTTCAAAGCGTCTAGATTCTACTCTTTCGTTAATGTCAAAGCTTTTCCATTGTGTCACTTTACAGACAGTTTTCGTTTGAAACGTCTTAAATTTATACTGCAGATTTTTTTCTGTCTAAGTTCCAGACCTCCATTGATACAGTATAAATAGCTTTTGAAAACATTTAACGGTTATACTTTTGAAAATGTATGTTAACTAACAAACGAAACGTCAAGTTCATAAAATGCACGTTTTTAAAATGTTTATCACCACTGTTTGTGTTATATGGCCGAAGACCAAGAGTTAATATAATACTGAATGCTCAGTTCATGAATAAACGTTCCCTTATTCAAGCATTAAACTCAAACACTCAGTTCATGTCTATGCGTTAGTTGTTATCTCGGCGTGTAGTCCAGTGAAATATCTTAGCTTCTCCTTGACTGACCCATACATTTGTTAGCCTATTTATGGCAACCACGTTGCGTCTATTTAGTTCATAGTGCAACTGTACTTATTAGTCGAACTTTGAGACTTTCTTGTATTTAAATCCCAATGCACTGTCACAGGTCATTATCCTGGCAGCTTGCACGAGAGTACACATCTGATACAGAGTATAACAATTTAGCTTTAAAATTATGGCGAGCTCACGTTCTAAGCCATCGAAGACCACGCGAGCAGTCGATTTCAAGAACCTTTTCGATAGCGTTCTTCTCCTTCGCTTACGTAACCTTAATCCTCCAATCACTGAACCCTTGCCAGAATGCTTGAAAGGCTAAGGCTGACTACCAATCCAGCACCGACGAACATCCAACGCCACCCCAGAGGTCGCCCTCAAGATGGCCGGGTGCACAAAAACAAACGCGCACGCCAGGGTTCGCAGGCAAATGTCCCTAAAGAACAGTCCGACGCGGAGACCCACAGTTCCGACGAAGAAAGGCAGTCGTACGTTGACTCAGCAGTCGACTTCGAGCCACGAATTTTCCACGATGCCGTGTTTTCGCCAACTCAGAAGTCGGCCATTCAGGAGACCTTGTCTAGTTCGGTTAATGAAGCTTTTTGCGGGTATTTGAAAGCCACAAGGCCCAATTACTTTTCTCGGACGACCCTCGCACACCCAGGCCTCGCATCCTTAACACAGCGACTCCTCTGGGCCTGCATCGTCCTCTGGAAAAAAGCCTTGAAGACAATGTACTCCTCGCCCGTACCATCAGGCGGAGGATTGCCCCGACCAGGGCCCGAGCAGGAAGACTCGCCGCCAAGCCCTTGTCTGCTTTGACTACAACAAACCCTTTGGCTGTCAACGCCGTTCCTGCCATTTCCCGCACAGTTGCGGTCGCTGGAGCTCGCGCAACCACGCCCAGTTCAACTGCCCTAGTCCCCAAGCAGTCCGAAAGTAGCAACAGGCCAGCAAACCCCAGCGACCGCAGCCAAAAATAAGGTGGAGCAGCGCCAGCCGGACTGCAAACCTTCAGTATCCATCCGCTTAATCTAAATTAACGCCTGAATTAGTTAATCACCCCAAAAGCTCTTTTGTTAAAGCTTTCACCAACGCCCTTCGGTATGATACTCCCATTGGTTACCTTGGTTCCTGCAAGACACGGTTGTCGCGTAACTTGATATTAGACCCCAACATCCCTACGTCGTTTCTGGAAACCAAGCTTAATAAGTAAGTGCAGTTGGGGAGAATTGCGGGTCCCTTTCCTTCCTCCTCTACCTAGTAACTGGCGGTGTCACCCCATAGGTGTGGTCCCTAAAAAGCACCCGGTAGAATAGCGCACTTTTTGTCATCCTTCCTACCCCGAATGGGTTAGTGTAAATGATCACATCGCAAAGGATCCTTATTCTTTGCAGTATGTATATTCAGTGTCGATGACGCGATCGCAATACTGCGGTCTCTGGGCCCTGGGAGCTTCATGGCCAAAACGGAATCGAAATCTGCCTTTCAACTTATGCCAATCCACCCAAAAGACTAGAACCTTTTTGGCACCTACTGGCAATGTTAGTACTACATAGTCCTTTACCCTAACTTTCATTCGGACTTCGCGGTGCCCCTTTCCTTTTTAAACAAATTTCTGATGCTTTGGAATGGATCGATATCATTAAACAAAACTATAGCCTTTGTCATGTTATTCACATTTTGGACGACATCTTCATAGCGGAACATAAAAACTGTTGATTGCCTAGGGAGCCTTACTACCCTTCTCAAGGTGTTCATGTTTCTTCGGGTTCCCACTGTTCCAACTAAGACCATGGGGCCCTGACAAGTTCAAGAGCTCATAGGCGTTGTACTTGATAGTAACCGTACGGAAGGATGATTGCCTGAGGACAAGCTTGCCAGAATACGGCAATTATTGGTCTCTTTTACCAATCGTCGTTCTACTCACATTGTAGATTTCCAATCCCTTATCGGTACTCTGCAATTCGTCTGTAAAGTAGTAGTCCCGGGCAGAACTTTCCTTCAGCGCATCGTAAACCTCACATCCATTTGAACAAGGAATTTTCTTCAGATCTAAAAGTGTGGAGAGTATTTCTCTCTAAATGGAACGGGCGCTCCTTTATCCTTGAGTCATACGTCACCTCTTTCCCTGACCTGTGTATGCAGCTATATACTGATCACTTGGGTTTGGAGGCTTTTCAAATGGTAGATGGTTCTAGAGCAATTGGATTCCTCATTTACTCTTTAAAAAGACCAAAGGGATAAGTATTGAATTGCAAGAACTCTGCCCTATCATATATTCTTACCTGCGCACTGTGGTACCCTCACTTTTCCGGCAAACGCCTTCAATTTTGATGTGTTAATCAGGGCGTGTGAAAGGTGAATTGATCAACATTACACGAGTGTGGGACAAAGAAAAAATCTGAGTCCCAGACAGGAATCGAACCCATGACCTCCCGAACACCGGGTGGGCGCTCTCTCTCCTCTGAGCGTTGTTGCCATCATTAACTCGGGTAATTCCAAAGCTCCTAGGGTCATGGATCTGGTTCGTTTCTTGGTACTCATTTCCACGAAGCACAATTTCCTGGCTAGGTCTTGTTACGTTCCCGTGGCATAAAAACGAAATCGCTGATGCTCTTACCAGTTTTCACGTTCAACGATTCATGGACCTCGCTCTCAGTACCGACCAGAACCCCTGCCTTCCCTCATAACCTTGTAAAAGAAACGATACGATACGATACGATACGACAGCTTTATCCACGGTATTTCCATCAGTCAATTAAGATACTCGACTATCTACCTATCTATCTAACCACAGTAAAATTAACAACATTTCCAAAAAAATAAAAACTGCTTTTCATGGAGGCCGTGTCTAAAAATTTACTTAAAATTAGCGTATTACTTAAAACATATTGCATACATACTGAGATTTACTCACTGAAAGGCGCGAAATAAGTTCTCATTCACAAGCCATTCTAAGTAGCGGAAGTCGCGTATCGCTTTTTCCACGTTTGGGGAAATGATACGTCCAATCAGGAGCCGTGTATCATGTTTGTTCATGTATGAGCCGTATCACGGCGATTCTCATTCATGCCCGACTGGTAGCGTTTCACTTTTCAAACCGTTCGCAAAATCATACAAATTAGCTCAAATTCGCTCTACGGACTGTTTCAAAGACGAATTTCTCTGAAAAAAAAAAGTATGCGTATAATAAACATAATACACCATGGAAAGTGTGTCTGTATGGTACTTACGCACTCGTTGGTTTGGTTTACCTTAAGTATGCCAACTGGTCCTCGTCATGGAACACCAACCGCACTTAATATACAGATTTAGCCAGGCCTAAAAGTGGAGACCGTGACTTCTATAAACTGATCTAGCTTGAGCCTGCGATCCAATCGAAAACCAGTTCCTGATCAACTTAATAAAGAGTCGACCTCAATAAGCTTAGCCTGCGAGCAGGCTCACCTTTGAGTCACACGCGCGAGCGGTGAAGAGCAAAGCGATCCGGCGGGAAGGAGTCTGGTGAAGAGGCGCCCAGAAAGTGAGCCTGCCCTGATCTCTGTAATTTTTTCATNCCATCGACGATTAGTCAACGCAAGTTTATATCTGTTCACTTTAAAATGGTAAGGAAAGTCACTGTAAGTAAATTCAATTGAGTGTTTTGAAGTTGTGAGAGTTTGCTTGGTTGTTTGTAGCTTCACACTGTAATGGCGCGCAATCCTGTGTTTCTCTCGCCGTAAAATTTGAGTCAATTTCAGTCGAGTTTACCTCTCTGATCGTTGCTGTATTGAGGAGAATTTCTGTGGAATACACTTAACAAATTTCCTCGCTTTCTGCTATTGAATTTACGGTAGAAAAATCTGATTTCAAGTGATTTTAAAAGCAACAACTGACAGAAATTGTTTTTGTAGTAAAACTTCAAACTTTGCACGAAATTTCACGCAGCAAAAACAATTTTGCAGAACTTAACTGGTGAAATCAACGCAACTAACATAAAGTAGTTTGAAAAAAAATCTGTTCTTTACTACATCCTTCTTTGTCTACTATCTGAGCTACTTGCTCGTAGCCAAGATTCTTTACAAAGTGTTAGTAGACGGCACGCAAGCCGATTCAATGACAACGGCTGCGTAAACAAACCCATTTGTAATCTGTAAAACCAATTTACTGCAAGAAAGAAAACTAAACATGTTATTTGCTGGTTTAGGTCGGTCCGTATAGTGAAAAACTGTGACCTTGGGCAGCATTTTCAAGACCCCGGTCACAGTTTTTCACTATACGGACCTGCCAGCCGGCAAATAACATATATATATTGAAAGGGAATGGGTTAAGAAGCATGTATCCATGTATGTGATGCTTGATTTGTCACTTTGTCAGTATAGAAGAATGATAACTGGAACTGGTGGCCAAACGTTCCATTCGCCAATCATGGAGAACACCAGAAACAATCTGGAACAAAATGTCTTCAACAGACACAACAAAACATCTACAGACTGAGTGACATCAACAATATTGAATTCTTACATTTCTTGAACGAGCAAACAATTGAGCACGGGAAGAACAATTGTTTTCTCAGAAAGAAGATGGTGATAAGTTTACTCACAAGCGTTTCTTTTGAGTCTTGACATATGGCTGTTCAACTTCCTCTTCCTTCTCCTCAGGAATGCTACAGGATCTCATTCTAGAGTTTGGATTTTCCTTGCAGTACCATTTGTCTGGCAGCTTTTTGGGGTCTGTACCATCAGGTAACTTACGCCACTTCAGGCATTCTGGATTGTCACATTGCACCCAGATCTGGTCAGGGAGTTGTCTGCAATAAAATGTAACTCTTACAGTCCTGTGTGCACTTAAAAGGGTCACAGTCATGACTTAAGCAGTGCTTTGTATCAAAACCAAAAACGAAAAAAGAAAATTGCCATAAATGGCAATTTACTACCACAGTTCAAACAGAAATTATAATTTTCAGCAAGAAAAGAACAGTTAGTGTGCCCCTTGATTTCAATAGCAGCAGCACAAATCTGTCACTCCTTTCATGACACAAGTCTTATAAATTATACACATCTGGTACTAAATTTATTTCTTTTTAATCCTGAAACATTTCTGGTTAGCTCATTTAATTTTACTACCAGTACATGATGCAAAATTTCCTCAAAATGTAAACTTGCTCATTAGTATCACTACCATCACAGGCCATACTCATCATCAACAGTGAACATCACTAATTTAAATTCATCATCATGGTTATCATTCACGTCATTATCATGATCATGTAACAAGCAAGTACTCACTGAACTTCCACAGGTTCAGGGATTGGCTCCTTGCTGTTGAGACGCTGAGGCCCCTTCTTCTCATTCCTAAATTGAGATTTTTTGGAACATAAAATGATTAAAATCATTGAGAGACAGACACAAGAGAAGAGATAGAGTTAATTTATTTGGCACCTGTGGAACAGGACGAAACATACAAAAGGGTTGGGGATGCTCCTTTAAAAGTTTGAATTTGACTTCTAAAGGAAACTTATCTCAGGTGTACTGTTACTGAAGCTTTCATTTAACCTCTAAAAAGGTACTATCCAAAAAATTCATTGCTGATCAGTCTACGCAAGCAATGCAGATCACAACATTTTCAATTTATTTGTTTGCATGCAACCAAAAACTGACAATACATTGACTGGTAAAAATATTGCCTTTCTGACCTGAACTCTCTAACTGCTATGAGAATCTGGAATTTGAACCCCTAAGTAAGAAAATGAACGTTGTCATCACTATAACAAGAAATGAATGATATTAAATCAATGCTTACCAATAATCATTCAGCTTGGATCCTAGTGCAGCAAAACAAGCTCTGCAAAATACAATTCAAGAATAATGTTTAGGATGTTAAACGCCCAATAATTCTTTCTATGTTCTCTTTGGCTAAAAATGAGGGAATCAGTAAAGGATTAGTGACCTATGAAAAGAGAAGAGGGTGTCATTGACCATTTAAGAGATGCAGAGTACACTGTAGGTAAATGCAACCGGTACCTATCCCTTTATGTACTGGAGAAATAATTCAAGCACCTGAAAACATCCTGCAAGAGTTTTGAAAATACGCACAGCTACTAATACTTAACATCCTAAACTTCCTCAAAAAAACGGATCATTTTCCTACAGTACCTGTAAGCCTTGGTATAATCAAAGTCTTGTTTGTTATGGGTTGGCTGAAGAAAATCACATTCAATGACACCCACAACCCCAACTCCTAAGTTGTTGGCCTGCAAAGTAAAGATAACATGAATCAGAAAAATAGTTTTCAGCTGTTGTGGTGGCTAATGGTTAGTAAGTTGGACTATGGACTAAGTAAGAGGCCCCAGTTGTTCAAAGGCTGGACAACACTACCCTCCGGATAAATCACTATCCAGTGGATAAGTGCTAACAAAACAAACCAGCTATCTGCTAGATAGCGATTTATCCGAGGACCAGGTTGCCTTCAGTTGTAGTGGTGGATCCATCCAGAGCGATGACTAGTACCTAGAGTGTTTGCCTTTATTTCTGTCATAATATTTACAACCTTTTTCAATTTTGTTTTTTTGATATTCACTTCTCCAAAAGGGGGAAGAGGTGGGTGGGGTGGGGAGGGCTAGCCACTCAATCCATCCCCATAAATCCACCATAACTCTCTAGTTCTTGTTATTTTTACATGACATGGGTGGTGAAACACTCAATATCAAAGTTCCAGAAAAATATCCATAACTGACCCCAAAGAGTTACTGGAAAATCCAAAATGTGGATATTTTTGGAACAACTCATTTGAGAATCAAGTATCTTGTGAAACAGCACAACACAATTCAACCATGAACACAAAGCTGTCAATTAATGCATGGCACCAGGTACCAGACTTCTAATAAAATAAAATGCATTTTTCAAATGCATTATTTAATTATTTCACTTACTTTTAACTGGTAACCCACACGGACATAGGGTTTAATAAGTCTGTTCCTGTGGTACATCATAATTCCATAATGATTTCTATTCTGACTAAAACCAAAGAATATCTTCACTTGCTTGTTTACCTATCCAAATTTTTAACCATGTCAAGGAAAAGAGTTTCATTTTACTTATCTCCATGATAACAAACTGAATACTGTATAGAACCAGTTCAAGTCTCAAAATAATCGCATTAATATTATTAAGCTTACCATAACACTCTGGATAATCCCAAAAATCCTGTATTCTTTTGTTTAAAAACAATAACAGTAAGTTTAGAATTTTGTTAAAAGCACAAAGCTCTGCATTGGTCTAGTAAACTATGGCCAAGGATGTTCACACCCAAATCTCCTCACATTCAAATTTTTTTACACTTAGCATTGGCTAGATTACCAACTTGTGTCACAAAGAAAGATATTCACTACATTGCCTTACATGAAAACAACATAAAAATAAGAGAACTCTACATAAGGGGGGATGAAGGGTATTTATAATAATTTAGGACCCCGACTAGTAATACATTTTACAGCAGAGTATGCTAGATGGTCCTTAATGCTGTGGGCTCCAGTCCCAGCAATTTACCTGACAGTTTTATTTGGTCTTAAGAAACACTTAGATGAATGACATTGTGTGACATTGTGTAGTTCCAGAAAATATCCATACCTTCCCCACGGAAGGGAATTTTTCTAGGTCCCCCCCCCCCTGGAAATTCCGATTGAGCTTCATACATTTCTTTAAATTTTTTGGTCTTACAGAACCCCCACCCCCAGGAAATTCCAATCCCTTCTGTGGGGGGAGTATGGATATTTTCTGGAACTGAACATTGTAAATTGTGGATTTACGTGAACAGTAAATATGCATAGTGAAACAATATAAGTGCAAATGTCCCTAAGTACATAACCTGGCTACAGAACACAGAAAATATCAATAAAGGATACAGCTGATGGGCGGTAAAAGTCCACTGCTGTCTTGCTCAAACTCTTTGTTATCACAGTGGTGCGCACTTTCTTACCCCTCAGTATTATCTGCATTCTAGGTCTTAAGTACAGAATGGCACAATATGCCTAAGAAAAAACAACAATGCATGCATGTTAAAGCAAACAACTTGTTAAAACAGTTGTAAGCTTCACCAACAATATTATTGCTAGTCGCATGTAGGCAAAACATCTTAAGCCCAACTGGCTCGTAGCTCTTGGCACTTAACTCCGAATTCTGTAGGATCAACCAGCTACAGATATTGCTACTCCCTCTGGATGTGATGTTAGTCTACTGCAGGTTTCTCCCTAGCATTCTGTCAGGTTGCCTCCACAATTTGCCGGTACTCATTTATGCTTCTAGTTAGAAGGAGGCAATGTGAAAGTACTGTGCCTTATTTAAGAACACAGTACAGTGATCCAGGCCAGGGGTCCGTTTCTTGAAGGTCCTGAAAAGTTTTCGCACCCAAAAGCTGTAGCAAAATCTCAAAAGTTCTGACTACAGAGCTGTTTTATGAATATATTCTTAATATGAGCAGATGTTCTCTTCATACCAGGAGTTTCAGGCGTGTACACCTCTCTGTCTTTAAATACCAATTAACTAAAAATGCCTTTGCGGGCCTGAAAAGTTTCCAGGGCTTTCGAGAAATGGGCCCCAGGGCTCAAACCCACACAGAACACAAAAAAAATTTGGCCACCGGGCTTCCCATGCCACATAATATGACGTAGTAAGTACAATTACTAACCCGTAACGAGTAATCCGACTCTGGAATGTGGTTTTGTCGCTCCTGCTTTCTTATCTTGCTGATCTCCAAGTCTGTATCCTCAGGAATTCTTACATCATCAGGTGCAGATGAAAAATCAAACTCTGGTTTTCCATCAGGAGTTGTTCGAACATTGAAAATGATAATACGAGTGCCACTTGGATTTTGAATCCCAGCGAACTCAGCTAAAAGTTCCTCTTTGTATTTAAACACAGAATGCGTCAGAATGTCCTGCAGTGCTTTGTCTTTGTCAGACTTCTCAAGAATTTTTGAGAAATGTTAAGGATCCTATTAGGTGTAAATTTACAAAAATAACTAACTGGAAAATAAAGATAACATCATTTCAGAACTAAGTAGTGATATTGAAGCACTCTTGCATTCATGCCAATCACAAGCACAAATCAAAATGTAGACAATAAGCAAATTGAGTATAAAATAGGTAAACACAAATTTAAGGCAGCATGGAAAAGGCACGGGAGTAACAGAAGCAGCCAGATGGTTACCATACTGATCCAAATGCTGATCAGGGTCACCATGTTAGGTCTTAAGCAAGACACTCAAGTCTCAAGGGTTGCTCCGACTCTCTCAATGAGCAATATCAATGGATATCAGTATGTCCACTTAACTCATGCTACAAAGACAGATGTAGGTTTTATGACTGATTAAATGCAAGACACAGATATGGCCTCAAGATTTTAGCAGTCAAACAAAGTGCTACTAGAAAAAAAAATCAATTCACTGTGTAATTCAGGTGTGGCTTTCTCTCTTGAAATAAAATCATTCAGAAGCAAGTGCACCAAATTAATTAGTATTAAAAATTTTAAATAAGAAATAATGGTAACTATCATGCACTATGTCTGTATGACCATAAGTTGTGTAGGACCAAATTAAGACCAATTAAAATGCAGGGAATTACATTGAATGCTTAATCACTTTTTATGAAGTACAAACATTCATCATCTTATCTACCGTCCGTAAAAACAAAATCACACTCTTGAAAAATAAATTTAGTATCCTTGAAAAGCGCAAGAGCATTATTTGTGAATTAATACGTGATGCTCTGAAAGAGCACAATCGATCACTTCAAAATTTTACACTGAGCTTTAATACCAGTTTTAACGATGTTTCATGCATTTATGTAGAACGCGAAACGTTTCAGGCCATTAAATCGCTGGTGTAAGGAGACAGGACACTTCATTTGGCAAATTAATACAGAGACTTACTGTTAAAAAAAGTATTGGCCAGTCATTAGAGTCAGCCATCCTCCGATCTCATCAACAATGGAGACCACGAAGGATCTTTAATTCAAGGCGCCAAATTCGAGTTTGGCGCGAACGTCATACGACCGCGGAAGTACCGCAAACGCACGGACGAATTCAACGGTCTTCAACAGGTCGCGTTTATTTACGTGTGAGAATTACTTTAGTAATTAGTAAAGGATATTTCCATCAGAGTCCCAAGTGACCATAGGCACAAGAATTGTTTCCGCTTTGATGGCTTCCAAATAAGTTTGCGAGAGGAATCCAACGCTCCTCGTGTTGCCGGTTTTGGTAAGGACGATGGCGTCCTTGCCAAGTCTCATGGATCCCGACTTGAATCCATTCCCATAGTGTCCAACAGGCATAAATCCCTTGTCCTCTACCTAATGATGGTAATATTGTGAAATGAGATAACAAGAAACGTTCGAAAACTTTACAATGTCAATTGTAAATAAGTTTACTGTACGAATGAGTAACGCAACGTGAAAATCGCTCACTCTCACCTTATCACAAAATCCGAAGCTGCAATAGTGAAAAAAAGGACATGTAAGTATTCACGAACCTCAGAGTAAACGAAGAAGGTATTTAACTAAATTAAGTTGAGCATCTACAATGTGTAAGCCCCGTACCTCAACATTTTATGCAGCTTCTCCGGACCCATGCCGGCACCGTTATCCGTGAAGACAAGGCAATAGTTGTGTTTACTGTATTTTTTGACATCTATCCATAGCTGGCTGGCATTCACGTCCGGATCGTATGCATTATCTGCAGAACAAGCATAAACAAATCACAAAGAGGCCAAACACCGGCGGAAGAAACGAGCCCTGGGCTTGCGGCGACGCGAAACTTACCAATGAGTTCGGCGATAGCGCTGAAGGGCCAAGTATGACTCGTCGAATTCGTGTGCAAATACTTTGGACTGAGCTGGGGAAAAAGTAAATTCTTAGCAAACTAGAGCAGTTCTTTATTACAAAATATTGACGGTGCACTTACAGTGCTAAGGCGAACTCCGAGATCCGTGGAATCGAGAAGCTGTCTTGCCGCCATTTTGTTTTGTTTTCTTTTTCCCCTACACTCCCCCTTACAAACTGGTTTACTCGATCCGGCCGCCCAAGGGCCCGCAAGACAGACTGCGGTGTTCGTTTTCTCCTGGAAATTTGAAAGGCGTGGATCAGGAAAGATTGGCATATAAGGAAAAACGTCAAATACAGCCAATCAACTGATAAGATTTCAATGATGGACAGCCAAAGCTAATAATATCAGCCAATCACAAGACGACCCTTACTGACGCCTTTATCAGTGCGCAACGAAGCGCGCGCAATTCCGCAAAAATGCGGTTTCGGCGAAATAAGTTTTGGACTCAAGCCAGGACAGAATTAAATCAATTCAATTACTCTAAAAATTTTCCTCAAGTTCATGATCAGATTTTTTAATCACAACGCTGAAAAATACCCTTTTAATCTTGTCAACAACAATGACAAAAAAACCTGCAAAAGCAATTTTTTTACAGTGCACTATTCCACCTAGTTTCGAGAAAGTCCAATCGAATATCTCTTCGTAAAAAAATCGCCCTAGGCAAAGTGGGTTTTCACTGGGTCACGGTAAAACGAACTGAAGAAAAGTTTAGTCAAGCAGCTAGATTACGAGACAAGCGACAGCATGAGAGCTAGAACAAATCCCTTATTTTACAGCTTACATTGTAGGTCTCGTTTTCCGAATAAAAACGCGAAAATTATAAACCTCCTTTCTCAAGATCTTCCATTATGCTGAAATGCAAAGCAAGATTTACCTGCCGCTCAGGTTTTAAATTACCGCACTTGCATAATCGATCGAAACCTAAATAAACACGTCTACATCTCGACAAATTCGACGAATCGTGTTCAAGTGAACTTTGCATTTACATGTGATGGGCACGTGATAGACATATGCACGGCGCCAGTTTCTGAAACTGGGATGATGAAATGTTTACATCTGCGTGAGTTTCATGGCCATATATGGAAACAGGTCATGCAAAACATTTCATTGCGCTTGCGTACGACGTGGCAGGCGCCCAGTTATCTCATATGGCGTCTTTTGTCTTTTCGCTTTTTAATTTGGCATTGCATGGCGTGAGAAATCGACCTCACACGTCATATTTCCTGTAAATCGTCTGATTTGATTGGCTGGCAGTCGAGAAGCAATCAATCACATGCCATCGCCAGTTCGTATTTCAATTCTCATCCGAGATATGACATGCTCTAATGATTTGAAGTAAAAATATTTCGAAAGATTTGATAAGATTCCAAATTAAAAAAAAAAAACAGATAATCGTACAGTGATGGCAGATTCGTCGTAACACGCAGCGCGAGCTTGATAAACACTGTGTTGAGATATGATTTCTGTCGCGAATCTTCCAAAGACGAAGAAACCAGAATTTTTCGCTGGCTTCTCGATAATATTTGAAAATGGCAAATATGAAATACTAATTAACTCAAGATATGGCGTTTGTCTAATGCAACAGCAAGAAATAAATACTCGTTATGGAACTTGACTAAATGAGTAACTGAAAGGGAACCGAATACTTTGACCAGAGCGAAACTGAAATAAAAGCGTTCACAAGGCATTGCGCAATCTTCCTAATCTCGAAAGTCATTCGGATGTAATCGTTTCTTCAAAATGTCAAATTGGCAGACTGTACAGAACAAAAAGCTTTACATAGATCAGTAAGCGAGAACTGCCAAGCAGGGAGGCGCATTTAAACTGCTTGAAGGGTTTTTGAGGCGATAATTTTTACTTCCTGATACTTGTAATAATTCAGTTACGGGGGCTCTCCCTAGTCACTGACGTTATATTTTTTTAAAATTCAAATTCTGAGGAATTTTCGCCGATGATACCTTGGCCATACAAAATTTCTGACTCGTGCGTTTCACATGGCCGTGCACGTGTGAGGAGAAGTTGCAAATACGGGGCCAATTAGATAGATAGTCGTTACTTTTCTAATATATGTATTTTGACCTCACAAGTGGTATGCAATCCACATACAAACAGGAATTAATTCTGCTTTCGTTTAATAGATTGTAAACAAATACGAAGCTCCGGGGCAGAAAAATAAATCTTTCAATAGGCCACTTTCGATATATTAAAATTCAGCTTGATGGTGAGGCCTAGAGGACACAAACAAAAGAAATGAATAAACATGGTCATTTATCAATTTCCTTTGTTTCTGTCCTCTAAGCCTCACTGCCAAGCAGAATTTCAATGTATCGAAAACGGTCTGTTGCGTTTGATTTATACCGTCAATACCCTATCATTATCAAGCTGCACTTGTCAGCAGAGATAACAATGACAGTTGTCAAATGCCGCGTGACATCAATGGTTCAATGAGTCGAAAGGCCTATAAATTTCCTAATGTTGACCTTTCTGCGTTAACTGACAGATATTGCAACAGGTCGAAACAGGTAAGTATTAGAAATATTAGAAGTTTCATTTTAAAACCAGCTGTTGATTATTTCCATCTGTTCCTTCTGTTGAGTGATTGGTCTGTGGTTTAATGCCAGCAGACTGATTTCATCTCTGTACCTGCGGGGCCTTGGAACCAAAAGCTACAGAACGTTTTGTGATGGTTTTCGGCATCAGTTTTGTGAAATATTAAACGCCGAGGCTTGGAGGCAAGAAAAAAAAAAATCTAAAAAACAAAAACAAAAAACAAAAAACAAAGAAATAACATTCAGGTCGAGATGTGAATAAATGGTTTGTTTTGTCCCTGACTCGGCGCCATGTTAGAATTTTTAAATAAGCATCAGCAACGTACAGATACGCAGTAAATTTACGAAGTCATTCTTAACTTATTTTAGTTTTTATCCTTATATTATGTTATTTAAACAGGACCCCTTTGATAACAGTACTCTTGCACTGAAGGGCTATCCTGTTTAAATATTCGTTATTATTATTACCATTATTTATTATTATTAAGATGTTGATAATTAGCACCTTTTGTTTGAAAAACGTTCTTGCAAAAGGTGCTACATGACTGCACCTCTACTGCGTCGGCGTACGATGCTTATATGCTCGTGCTTCTGCCTTTGAGAAACTCATGCAGTCTTGACAAGAATACTCAAATCACGTGCGACAAGACCGTAACAAGGAATTGAAAGAGCCTCTCTGATAGGCCATGTTCGTATTCTCGGTATTGGACTGGAACGAGCTTGCAACTGACGCTAATGCGCGCGCGCGGGGAGTCTTCTCGAATACAAATGACATTAATTGACATTAATATCGTTTTAGTGATATTCCCCCGCACGAGCTAGCCTCCATTGCAAGCTAGTTCCAGTCTAATATCGAGAATACGAATAATAAGGCCTAATATCAGCTTCTTTCGTTTGCATCATTCAATATAATGGCCTGCGGTTCCTCTCAATCTCTCTCAGGATTGAATGTAACCTGTTGATACGCCATTTTGTATATCTAGTTTCACACCGTTACCATTTTACCTGAAGCGATAAATCGTGATAGAATCTTAATGTTTAATTTTTCGCTAAACATGTCGATGAAAGACTGAAGCAAAAGAAATAAAATTTGCCAATGCTTTCATGGCTGCATACCTTACTTCACTCTGAAAAGCAGAACAAAAGCAAATTTCTGACTAAATTGGCAAAACCTGTGCACAAATTTTAGGCCAAAACAGCTGAAGGACCCCTATCACCTTTTAGTGGCGCGCTTGAAAGATAATTTTACCGTCAATGAAATTTCGACAGTGACGTTGGTGTCGTGTGTGTGTACCACATTATGGCATCAAAGACAAACGCACGACCCACAACCGTCTGTTTCATCAAACGCTTTTTCAATATCACTGTAGGATTCCAAGCCCCTATCCACACTACGTCCGAGGAATTTGAAAACGGAGGTTTCACTCTGAAAACCCATCAAATGTTTTCTGTCCACACTACGCCGGCGCATTGAGAAGAATTTGTAAAAGCAACAATCACCGGTCATTTTCGATCTGTGTTTGAGGAAAGCTCAGACAGGAAAATCACAAGATTATTGTGACGCCATCGCTTTCGAAAAGCTTCAGCGTTTTCAAATTGTTTTCCGTCCACACGGAAACGAAAAGCCGACGTTTTCGGTTTGAAGAGCGTTTCGAGGACGGTAGGCCTAACCGAAAATATACATGAAGTGCGTTTTCAAATTTCTCCGGCGCAGCGTGGACAGGGCCTAAGTCACGTGGGCACACAGTGTTTAAGTTAATAGACTCATGTTTATTAAGATTTTTTTCGGTTACAATCTCTGGCTTAACGTTAGTAACTTTTTAATGGGACCTTTACAATGGTGCTCGCCGAATGGTTGCCAATTGAAAAAGTTATCATTCAATTTTGACACCTTTTTGACAACTTTCTGTTGCCTCTGAGAGGCGAAGATGTTAAGTTTGACGTTTGCTTCCCAATAATTGTCAACTCCGCCTCCCTCGCGTGCGGCATTTTGATTGGCCAGTTGAAAAAGAAACCACGAGAAAGTTGTCAAAAAGTTGTCAAAACTAATTAACAGGCAACAGAGTATCGGGAAGCCCTGTCAAAAGCTCCACTTCCTTGTTTTGACCTCACGTCAGCAACAATCAGTCTTATCACACGTACAATATAAGACTCTTCACAAGCTGACAATGTTTTTATCTTTTCGAGACAAGAAAGACACATTTTCAAACGCGCCATTTTGCCATAGCAATCCATAAAAAGGGCACACATCTTGGTCACACTCGGTTTACCGAGCGACGTGATGAGACTCGAAAGAAGACGTTGCTGTTGTTGTTGTTGTTGTTGTTGTCGATATTGTGCTTGAAAACTATAGAATATTAAACTGACGATTACTTCATGACTCTGGTTTTATTGTAACTCCTCTTCTGATTTGGCCCCAACCGATCAACCTGAAATTAAAATCAGAGTATCTAAGTCAAAAAGTTACGCTTTCAACTACAAAACCGAAGCAGCTAAGACTGACAACGAATTTGTCACAGCCTGTCGTACTTCCGCCTCGCGTCGACAAAAACCAACTACGTTTTCCGCTGGGTAGTGTTTAATCCGTTGACTGTGTTATCCATTCTTTGATCAAACAATTCGGCCACATTTATTTGGCCAAGATGATTTTTTTTCAAAAACAGCGTCAACTAGTTAACAGTATTCAATACATTGAGAGAGAAAAGTCTCGGCTTTTAAGTTCACTGCCCTTTTAATTATTTGTAGCAAAATATTTCAACACTTTCAAGTAGAAATACAACAATTCTCCTACTTTAGTATTTTTGTCTTGGACAAAAACTTCAGTCATCTATTTGGCCTCCAAAACAATAAGTAACATCCTTGGGTGCCTAGTTTGGGCCCGGTTTCCCTGAAATTTCTTGAGTGGGAATATGGAATCAGAAGGGAGACAATCACCATCAAGCAGCAACAATTGCCAACTTATAACTGACCGCCCGTCTCCTTGGGATCATCACATTCCATGCCACGCGTAAATACAATTAGAAATTGGTGACCTGTGGATGACCCCGCCGCACTCCAAATTATGTTAGCGTAATTCAAAGAACCATGCGTGACACAACAAATTTGGTTTGGACACAGGTCACGCAAGTAACGCAAGCGTTTCAACACATACCTCCAGTGTTTTTCAACTCTTCTACTAAGTGCAATCTTCTCTCCAATCTCAGTGCAAACCGGCTGAGTCAACACTATTTTCGCTAAATCTGCCTTGACAGCCAAAACGCGGCCTCCAGTAGACAAAGATCCAATGTTTACCATCAACACTTCATTCTTGGATAACTTTTGAACCTGCAAAAACAAAAACAAAGCTTATAAAAGGCTCTTAGCTCCCCTTGATTTTCCTTGAACAAAAACAAACTATAAACAGATAGAACGTACATGAGTGATTACCATGAATTATACTTAGGATTATGAAAGATTATGTCTTAGTCAAGAGCGCTTGAATTGCGTGCCTTGAGATTCAGTTTCAAAATCTCAGGAACAAACCTTGGCTCCCTTTTTGTCGCCCTCAGTCCTTACTCCTAGCAGTCTTCTCAACAAGAAGTAACTGATTTCCAACTCGGTGTAAATCTCAGGAAGTGTACCAACAGCACCCAAAACCTGCCATGACAAAAGATAGATACTGAAACAAAACAGATTCCCTCGTGTGTACTGACCTTCAGAATACATGTAGCTCAACTTTACTTCTACTACACCAGGTTTGTTTGTTTACTTGACAATGTAAGAAACAAACAAACAAAAATGAAAACATGCACACCTGTCCAACCATTCTGTCAGCCCTACATAACGTTGGGTCAATCTTTGTTCCAACACCTGGAAATAACAAAATTAAAAACCCTTGAGAAAGCAGAGCTTGTCAAACTTAAGCCCTGGCCAAACGGACTTGCAAGTAGTTGCAAGTAGTCACAAGTTGAACTTGCGAGGAGAATTGCGTTGGGTGGCTAAACAGACTCGCAAGTTTCCTCGCAAGTACACGCAAATTGCAAAAAAAAAAAAAACACATTTTAAGGCTACGTATCCTGTATTTAATTGGCTAATAGGTCGCTATAACAATGACTGGACTTCACTCAACTTGCATTGACTTGGGTTGGGTGACCAAACGGTGAAAAACTTGCATCGACTTGCTTGCAAATTTGATCTTGACTAAAGTGAGTGCAAGTCATCACAAGTCAACACAAGAGCATGCAAGTCCTGGCCAAATGGAGTCGCAAGTTGACCCAAGTTTTCAACTGGGGTCTACTTGCGAGTCAGTTTGACCAGGGCTTTAAGGGGATTTTATACAAGAGTGTTTCCCTGCACAGATACAGGTTTGAAGGCAGAAACACAGGAAGTTCTTCCTACCGATCAGTCCTCCAGGCACAGCATATTGAAGGTCATTCTGCTCAGCAAACAGGGATACAATACGAGAAAATATGGCACGGCACTGCAATTTGCCTTCACTGTCCTTTGAGACAATACCAGGTCTCACTTCAATTTCTTGGTTAACCTATACAAGCAGAAAAAAACAACAACAACAAAAGAAAAGGTAATGGTGTTGTTGCTTATGAATTACTTATTTTTAATTTTTATTAGAATTTGACTTTGTATTTTTATTAAGTATTCAGTTTTCGTATTTTATTCATTCATCTACTTTTTTATCAAGGTAATCTCTTCTTGATACTGTAATTAATGTTAGAGTGTATAAAAGTAGATGTAAATAGCAATAGTCAGCATCCACGTAACCAAAAATGAAGTTAGTGACGTGCTGCCATTGCTGATTCCCCAGCTCTCTAGAAAAAAAATTTGGAAAGGACCACTAAAATAAGGCTGTTATTAAGACTTATATCACTTAATAAACACACCCTAAGAACTCCACATAATATACTTCCTCCAGCAACTCCACCCTTAAGTTCTTCAACTTCACAACCAGGCTTGTTTACATCAAAAGACCTGATAACTAAACAACAACAACAAAAGATGAGAATCAAACTGAGTAATATGTTAAAATAAAAAGAATAAAGGCAACAAAAGATATTGCAATTAACTAAAAGCTAATGATAAACTGTCCCGTCAATTTGGTGAATATTGCTTTAGAGCACCCATGTATATGAAATAGTATATTTCTGTTTAATTATTTCTTTAACTCACTTTCCCATTTAGGTTTTTCAATAAGTTTGCATCTTAACCCAAGTAGTGTAGTTTACAATAGGCCAGTTCTAAGTCACACTTGGCTCTTTCCAAAACAAGTCCTCGGAGCAAAACTTTTCACTTAATCAAGTTTTTTTTTATTAATGTAACTATAAACATGCATATGACAAATATAAAAAACAACATGCCTTTCCCCTAGACTACTGATGCCATTGAGTTGAATCAATACATATTCTAGTTGAAGGCAGGATTATCAAAGTTACTATTAGTTTTAAAGTAAAACAAACCTATGAGTTTAGCACTTGAAGTAAAATCTCTGACGGGAACAGGAATCTTCTTGCAGATAAATTCACAGATAACTTCTATGTTGTACTTGAGCTGTGCCGAGATGGGTACAACAGGGGCTCCCTCGGCAATTGTTCCTATTGATAAAATAAAATTATAAATCATTAAAAAATACTAATAATTCACTGTTAATGCTTAGGCAAGTAGCTGCAACATAAAGGTCTTTAATTTTACCATGAAGCAAAGTGTAAACCTACAAGTACTGACATAACGTCCCACCTTGAACAAACTTGAGTATCTGGTCATACTGTTCTTTAGCCTGGCTTTCTTTGACCAAGTCTATCTTGTTCTGTAGGATAATTATGTGTTTAAGCTTCATGATTTCAATGGCGGCCAGATGTTCTGAGGTTTGTGGCTGAGGACAAGATTCATTTCCAGCTTTGAGGAAAACAAGCAAACATAATAATTTTGTCAATTGCATAACAGCACAGTGAAGTAATGGTGTTATCATGAACAGAAATGCTTTTGTGCAGTAACATGCAAATTTTGAAAAAACAAGGAGTTTATTCATTATTTGTGCATTAACTGTACATTATTTTTGACAACCCTTGGAACTGGAAAGGGAAATAGCACAGTAACCATAAATCCATGTGAACCCCTATCTCTTTTGGATGTGTTGTGTACCCTGTGCACGGGCTCAGGTTAGAAGGAGAGAGCTGAAAAGGATCTAGCTGTGGCAGCTGAAGGAGGTTCTATCTTCTCGTTCTGCCCAAATTTTCTTTTTGCCCATCCTGGAGAGCCTTCTCACAGGCTAGTGCTGTGAAGCAGATGGACTATGATCAGAAGCTAAAACCAATCTCTGAAGTCTACAATGTATCTTATTCTGTTTAGACACTACTGCTTCCAACAGTCTAGTTGGAATGTAACCAAAAGAGCTGAAAAAAGGCTAAGAATGCAAGATGCATGATCTGTATGGTGTTGGTCTCAATTACCAGTAAAATATTAATGAATACCACCAGGATGCTGGTATTGCAGAATTGAAATTTAATTACAGTTAATGCCCAGGGGCAGGGGGGCAGAGAAACTCCTGTGTGAAAAGGTAGGGAATGCTCACCAAAATAGTTTGAATCAACCTGCCAAATGAGAGCACTCTGGGCAAGGTTCAAGCTTTATTTGATCCCTAAAAACTTATTTTTGTACACTTAAATTTTAGGTAAAAGTACAAGTAAGTTGTTGTTGTTGTTGTTGTTAAAAGATACCACATTAAAACAGACATGACAGCTGTTTTATTATTCTTCGCAAGCAACCCTAAAAGATACCTTTACAGCTAGGAATAGTGGTGTTTCGTCCTGAAAATCTAATTACAACCAGAATCGGTGATTTACATGTACACCCCTAAACGAGATGACAGACATCCCCAACCTTTACATGAGAGTCCTTCCCTTCCCACAGAGGAGTTGATGTTCTCACTGGTACTTGTGAATACCAGCAGTGTTGGTCAACTTGAAATTGGCCAATTTATGAAAACTGACCATTTCAAGATCATACCAAACCACGATCATATTGTAATGTAATTGAAATAATAAAATCATTCTGAAAACTAACCTACGAGTAAAAGAGCAGCATCCATAACTGCAGCACCGTTCAACATGGTGGCCATAAGAATGTCATGACCAGGACAGTCCACAAATGACACATGCCTGAGGAGAAACGACACTACTTTTGATATGGTCTTACAGAGAATTTTGAATTGTGTCAACACTGCCTGGACTCTTTTACCTTATGATCATCTCAAATTGCACAAAAGTTGTTTCCCCTTTTATTACAGATAAGGAGGCTTGTTAAAATCATCAAATTCCAAATGGGTGATTCCAGAAAATAACCATACCATACCATGGGCAGCATCTTGGAATTCCAAGGGAGAGGGGGGTGGGTGGTCTCTGGGACTGGAATTCTCAAGGCACTGGGGGGTAACGTAGTTTGGAATTCCAAACGCATGGGGGGTTTCAGCAATGATTTTCCAGAGGTGGAAGACGGTGAAAGCATATTGGAATTTCCGAAGACAAGGGGGGGGGGGGG